CCTCCCACCCTGCCCGCGGGCCATCGAAGCCCCCCAACCAGCGCCTGTAGCCCAGTGCCCAGGCGTTTCCTTCTCTCTCTCTCTCTTTTCTCTAAATCATGTTGTACGTCCCCTGTATTTGTTTATCTTTTATTTTATAAGAAGTCTGTACCTTTGACGACCTTCACCCATTGCCATGTCCCCCACCCCCACCTCTGACAACCACAGATCTGATCTCTTTTTCTAGGAGTTTCATGTTTTTAAAGTTTACATATAAGTGAAATCACGCAGTATTTGTCTTTCTCTGACTTACTTCACTCCCTGGCATTTCCAAAAGCCACTCAGTGGACCACTCATCACACCAGTGATGACTGCGGCGAGCAATGAAAACAGCCGTGACGCGCATTGAGGGGCCTAAACTGCGCCTTCAAAAAGGCAAAGTCAGAATTTCTAGAAACACACTACCTACCGAGGCTGAGTGTGAAAAAACAGAAAATCTGAACAGACATATTACTAGTAAGGAGATGGAATCGGTAATCAGGAAACTCTAAACAGACAAAAATACAGGACCAGGCGACTTCACTGGCTTATGCTATAAAATATTTAAGGCAGCCCTGGCCAGTCTGGCTCAGTGGTTAGAGCATCGGCCCGCGGACTGAAGGGTCCCGGGTTCAACTCCAGCCAAGGGCATGTGCCTCGGTTGCAGAATCAGTGCCCAGCCCTGGTCAGGGTGCGTGCGGGAGGCAACCAATCGATGTCTCTCTCTCTCTCTCTCTCTCTCTCCCTCCCTTCCAGTCTCGGAAAAGCAACGGAAAAAAATATCCTCAGGCAAGGATTAAAAATATATATACTTAAAGAAGAATTAATACCAATCCTTCAAAATCTCCCAAAAATTAGAAGAGGAGAGGACACTTCCAAACTCATCTATGAGGCCAGCATTACCCTGGTACCAAAATCAGACACGGACCCCACAGGTAAAGAAAAGTGCAGGTCGATAACCGTGATACACATAGACGCAAAAATTCTTGACAAATACCAGAAAACTGAATTCAGCAACACATTAAAAAGATCATACTCCACGATCAGGTGGGATTTATTCCAGGGATTTATTCCAGTCGGTGTGATGCATCACATTAACGAAACGCAGGATAAAAGCCGTACGATCACCTCGATAGGTGCAGAAAAGGCATTTAACAGAATTCAACATTTATCTATGATAAAAACTCTACACAAAGAGGTTTTAGAGGGAATGTACCTCAACATAATAAAGGCTACACGTGACAGGCTCTCAGCTCGCCTCAAGTTCAGTGGAGAAAAGCTACACAGTTTTTCTCTTACGGTTGTGAGCAAGACGAGGCTGCGCACACCCCCCCCCCACTTTCATTCAATGTGGTATCAGAAGGCTCGGCTACAGCAATTAGGCAAGAAAAATAAATAAAAGGCACCTGAGTTGGAAAGCAAGGCGTAAAACTGTCCTTATTTGCAAATGCCACGTTTACAGCGAGGACCCTAGAGACTACACTAAGCCCGGCCGGCATGTGCCGCAGTTAAGCACCGACCTAGGATCCAGGAGACTGCGGTTCGATTCCCGGTCAGGGCACGTGCCCGGGTTGCGGGCTCGATCCCCAGTCGGGGGCATGCAGGAGGCCGCAGATCGATGACTCTTTCTCATCAGTGATGTTTCTATCTGTCTCCTCTCCCTTCCTCTCTCTGAAATCAATAAAATATATATTTTTTATTTTTAAAACATATCTTTATTTTTTATTTTTAAAATATATCTTTATTGATTTCAGAGAGAGAGAGAAACATCAATGATGAAAGAGTCATTGAGCGCCTGCCTCCTGCACGTCCCCGACTGGGGATCGAGCCCGCAACCCGGGCATGTGCCCTGACAGGGAATCGAACCCCGATCGCCTGGATCCTAGGTCAACGCTCAACTGCTGAGCCACGCCCGGCCGGGCTAAAATATATATATTTTTAAAAAGACTCCACCAAATGGTTAGAACTAATATATAAATTCAGTAAAGTTGCAGGATACAAGATCGATATACAAAACGCAGTTGTATCTCTATACACTAACAAACTATCAGACAGAAAAAGAATTTTTAAATCGCATTTACAATTGCATGAGAAAAAATAGAACGCCTCGGAGTGAACTTAACCAAGGGAGTGAAAGACCCGGACGTGGAAACTACACAACACTGACGGGAGAAACTGGAGATGACGCAGTTACATGGACTGGAAGAGTTAATACTGTTAAAATGTCCACACTGCCCAAAGCAATCTATAGATCCAATGCAACCCCTATTAAAATTCAGACGGCATTTTCACAGAAATAAAACAATCCTAAAATTTGTGTGAAACCACAAAAGACCCTGAATAGCAAAGCAACGTTGGGAAAGACGAACAAAGCTAGACACATCGAGCTGATTTCAAATTACATTACAAAGCTATAGTAATCCAAACAGTAGGGTATTAGCATTAAAAACAGACGTATTGATCAATGGAACAGAAGAGAGAGCCCAGAAATAATCCCATACATGTGTGTTCAATAAACTTCTCACAAACTAGCCAAGAATAAACAATGGGGAAAAGACAGTCTCTTTAATAGATGATGTTTGAAAAACTGGACACCCATGCACAAGAATGAAACTGGACCACTACTTTACACCACTCGCAGAAACTAACTCGAAATGGAATAAAGACTTACGCATGAGACCTGAAACCATAAAACTCCTAACAGAAAACATGGGTGGTAAGTATTTTGACATCAGTCTTGACGGTGATTTTTTTGGATTTGACACCACAAGCAAAGGCAACAAAAGCAAAAATAAACACGTGAGAACTACATGAAACTAAAAGCTTCTGCGAAGCAAAGGAAACCATCAACAAGATGAGCCGGCGACCTACCAAACAGGAGAAATTATTTGCAAATCATGTATCTGATGAGGGGTTAATATCCAAAATATATAAAGAACTCATAAAACTCAATAGCAAAAACAAACATTCCAATTTTTTTTTTTTTTTAATATATCTTTATGGATTTCAGAGAGAGGAAAGGAGGGGGAGAGAGAGAGACAGAAACATCAATGACGAGAGAGTCATTGGTCAAGCCCGCAACTGGGCATGTGCCCTGACCGGGAATCGAACCCCGATCGCCTGGATCCTAGGTCGATGCTCAACCGCTGAGCCACACCCGGCCGGGCAACAATCCAATTTTAAAAGGGGCAAAGAGTGTGAGCAGACGTCTTTCCAAAGAGGACATACAGATGGACAACAGGTACATGAAGAGGGGCTCAGGGTCACTGATCACCAGGGAAACGCAAACCAAAACCGCAGCAAGGTATCACCTCGCACCTGTCAGAATGGCTACCATCAAAAATACAAGAGAGCCCGGCCGGGCGTGGCTCAGCGGTTGAGCGTCGACCTAGGATCCAGGAGATCGGGGTTCGATTCCCGGTCGGGGCACATGCCCGGGTTGCGGGCTGCAGCCGATCAATGGCTCTCTCATCATTGATGTTTCTGTCTCTCTCTCTCCCTCTCCTTTCCTCTCTCTGAAATCAATAAAGATATATTTTTTAAAAAAATAAAAATACAAGAGAGAAGCGTTGGTGAGGGCGTGGGGAAAGGGAGCCCTGTGCACCGTTGGTGGGATTGCAAATGGTGCAACCACTGTGGAAAACAGTACGGAGGTTCCACAGAAATTTAAAAATATAACGACCATATGATCCAGCAGTTCCACTGCTGGGTGTTTAGCCAAGGAAAAGAAAACACTAATTCTAAAAGTTATATACACTTATATTCATAGCAGCATTGTTTACAACAGCCCTAACATGAAAGCAACCTAAGTGTCCATCGATAAGGTGAGTGGACAAACAAATGTGGTGTATATATAATACACACACACACACACACACACACACACAGGAATATATTCTGCCATTTGAAAAAACAAGAAAGTCTTATCATTTGTGACAGCATGGATGGGCCTCAGGGGCACTGTGCTAGGTGAAATAAGACGGAGAAAGACAAATACTGCGTGAGCGCACTTACACGCGGAAATTTTTTTTTTTAAATCAAAGAACTCAGATACAGGGAATAGATTGGCAGTCAACAGAGCTGGGGGTGGAAGGCGGGGAAAACGGGTGAAGGGGTCAAGAGGTAGAAACTTCCAGTTATAAAATAAATAAGTCCTCGGATGCGGTGTACAGCATGGTGACTGTAATGAACAATACTGTGCTTGCGTATCTGAAAGTTGCTAAGGCAGTAGGTGGTATAAGTTCTCATTACAAGGAAAGAACTTTGTAGCTCTGTGGGTGACAGATGTTAACTAGACTAATGGTGGCAATCATTTTGCAATACACACAAATATCCAGGCATTACGTTGCACATCTGAAACTGATACAGTGTTTTATGTCAATTATAGCTTCTTTTTTTTTAAAGAGAGAGAGCTGCAGTATAAAGAGGTTCTCCCCAGACAGTGACAGGTATTCCGAGTTACCCTGTTGAAACTGTGCTACGCTGAGTAATACAGAAAACAAAGTTTCCGTGAGCGTGTACGTAAGGAGGGCCAGAGGGCGGCCGAGAGTTCTGACTGAGACGGAACCACGAGTCTGAACGGAGCTGTTCGAACGGACCGCACGCGACCTCGCCTCCGGGCCCCACCCTAACGCCCGTCTCCAACTGTCTAGGCGACACCCCAGCAGTTCCTGGCTCGCGACTCTCGTGGACCAAACAAGATTCAGAACGGGGGGCGTTCTCGTTAGGTTCTGGCAGCTAAGCCCAGCAAACCTCCAAGTGCCAGCGGGGGAAGATGGGGACGTACCAGCCCGCGGGCCGGCGGGAGGGCTGAACTCGTCAGATCTACTATGGACGGCGTCCTGGCCAACTCTGTCATGAACTCACAGCAGGGAGTGAACAGAGGGCACGCCGGCCGCCGCACCTCACTGCCAGCCAGGCAGACGCGGGGCGCAGGCTACGGCTGCCCCAGAGAGCCCGCCACGAGCAAGTCCCGGGCTGGCCTCACGGGGCTCCGGGTGCGCCGTCAGCCCCCCTGAACGCAAGCGCCAGCCCTGGCCGGTGTTGCCCAGTGGTCAGAGCGTCGGCCTGCCCACCGAAGGGCCTCAGGTTCCATTCCGGTCGAGGGCACGTACCTCGGTCGCAGGTTCAACCTCTGGCCCCGGGCAGGGAGCGTGCAGGAGGCAACCAATCGATGCGTCTCTCTCACATCGATGTTTCTCTCTCTCCCCCATTCTCTCCTTTCCACTCTCTCTAAAAATCAATGGAAAAAATATCCTCGGGTGAAGATTAACTAATTAAGTAATTAAAAGGGAGCAGCAGACTCATATGTTCGTCAGGGGAGCCTGAGCTCCTCCATGCTACAGGGCTCCCCCTTGATAGTTTTCATCACCTGCCCAAAGGGGGAGGTTACAGGATGATATTTATCGGTTCTGTAGCCTCAACAGAAGTTATTTTAGGCAGGTGTTTTTATTTTCCCTTTGCAGGCATCACATTCTATTTTCAGCTATTGAGGAAGTAAATATTTCATTACTTTGTTGCTTTCTTGCCTACATATGTTTTAAGTTATGCCTCCAGCCTCACCTAAAGTTTTATATATATAATATTACATATATATTTAGCTCAAGTGTATCATACAATTGGCCCACTGACATAATATATGGAGTTTTATAGTTTTCAAAAAATATATTTACTAATATCTGCACCTATAGAAAAAAGCAATCACAAATAAAAAGAACCAAAAAAAAAAAAAAAAAAAAATAAAAAAAA